GGCTGCAGGAAGACCCTCCCCCTGCTGCACAGGGCGGGAAAACAGGAAGCAGAAGCAGGAGGTGAGAGGGAGGAAAGCAGAAAAGGCCCACACAGACAGTTATTTAGAGGCATCGTTAGTGGTCTAAAGAGAGAGTTACAGAGCAAAGGCAAGGCTGAAAACATTCACCCCGGCAGAAATTAGAGCGAGAAACCAACACTGATTTCCAGGAAAGATTAGCACGCATGGCTGGATTAATGACTCCGTCAGGCTGTTGCCGAACCAGACTCCAGATCCAGTTGTTTTTTTGTTTGTTTATTAAAGTCCGATCCGTGTTTTTCTTGTTTACCGATTAAATCCATTCCCCTTTGCTGTGTTGTTCTCTAATATCCAGTCCGGTCATTTTCCAGCACATCCTTAAGCATTATCATTAGCATTAGCATCTCCTAGCCCACAGGTCTGTGTCCTAACCATTAAGACGGCCATGTTAATTTGAAGCTATCGGTAAAAATGTCAGTTGTGTGGGATTAATTTAACCTTAAGGGAGAAAAAGAGGAAGAGCTGGATGTAAAACAGAGTTAATAGACTATTTTCTATTCAGGTTGTTTGTGTGTTTTGCCTTTTTAATACAGTTTACAATATTATTTGCACTTTTTACTGTTCACTGATGCCATTTCCGTTTGTTATTTATAATTTATTCTATTTTTGTATTTATCCCTGAATAAATAAGGTCAGTGTCTCTTTACCAACCAGTGTGTGTTATTCAAACTCCCCTAATTCAGCAACTGACAACTAAGTAAGTAGATAAATAACTTAAAATTTTAGTACATGCTCTGATAGGCCGGGATCGGTATCAGATCGGAAGTGAAAAAAGCTGTATGGGGACATCTCTAATCTGTTTCCAGTGCATTTAATGGAAGTGAACTCTTTATTGGTAAATAATGATGATTTAGGTTTCAAACATGTTCTATAATGAGTCAATATCACCCATATTATGAACTCATTACATTAAGTTATAATGTTAAATGTTAAATTTTGGGGTCTTTGTTTTTATCCTTGTGATATCGAAAATGGTAACGAGTATCTAACATATTGAGTAAGTAGATAAATAACGATAGGCTGGGATCGGTATCGGTAGCTGGATCGGGACATCCCTACTGGAGACTAGTGTAGTGGATTATTATTCTACAGTGAATATATTATCACAAAAGATTAGTAGTAAGTGCATTAATATATATATATATATAAAAGAAAAGTAGAAGTAACATGTAGCTGGGATATATATATATATATA